TGAAAAAGTTGATTAAAAGCTAAATCAAGTATTTTACGTCATTGTTATCGTAAAACTAAATAAAGTTCCGTTATATGACACAAGAAGACATAAAAATTCTAACATAATCTTTTTGGATATGTCTTTTTCTGCATTTCTACACTTTAATGAAATACAAGGCCCACAAAGCGTTCATTGAACGCCGCCTTATCATGTTAGATTAATTAAGATTATTTTAGGACAAGTGATAATGGCTTGCATACATGATTATGAGCTGACCGTGGCATCAACATATGTGTTATAGAACGTAGTCAATGGCACCAATGTTCAAATCATGAACAAAGTTATGAAAACCATCAAACATTTAATATATTTATCTTCAAAATTATTTTCCCATCTATGTATATTCTTTTACTAGTATTTGATACGATATTTGTTGTTCTATAATGTTTAAATCCAAATTTACGAACAGCCGTTTAAGATCTTTCATTGTTTGTAAACACCGAAGGCAACAATTCTTGCACCAAAAAGAGACCTTTAGGAATCAATAAATCATTTACGATCTCATATATAGATACAGGCCGTTATCTAATATTGTGGGTGATAAATGCATCTAAAACAGTAGCTAATTTGTATCTAGCTTTAACGTTTGATTATTAAATATATATCTTATCTGCGAAATAAAAAAAAAAACAGAATCCATGAAGAACGCCAAAAGCAGCATAATTGAAAATGTTCCATGTTCGGGTTAGCCTGTTCATGGGCGATAGTGGTAATTGCAAGCTACTGTCAGTATTAAACAAGGAATTAGGAAATTGGTGGAATTATTTTTTTTCAATTTGTGTTTTATCTTTACTTGTTTTTTTATGAAATGGAGATTAGCTTAACTACAGCCGCATTGATAAGATCAAATCTTCTACAAGTTTATCTTTTTTTTCAACCATTCTTGCTATCCACAAGTTTGATAAATCTACATCAAAATTTCAAGATTCAGTTTACAAGTAACAATCAAATATTGCAAGGTTTCCGAAATAAAAAACAAAGTTATATTCAATAAATGGGTTGACATGATAATAAATCTTTCAAACAATTCATGTAAACATGTTACATTTGTATAAACGGAAATGCCTTATCCCCATCAGAAATTTCAGCTTGCATCAGATATAAAGGTAAGTTATTGTACTTCATGAACTAAGATATCTCCCACGCTTATAATGAAATAATTTCATACAGAAATTTAACACATCACGTTCCTCATTATCTTGGCAGAATATGACAAGCTGTAGTGTTTTTCGTAGATAATATAATTAATAGAGTCAACTTTAATAAGTTGGAGGTGGAATGGTTTTTATGATTCATAGAAACAAAACTGATGTGACGCATAGATGAACTGTAGTTTTGGGATGGGTGAGTTTCACTTAACTTGCGGGAATATGAAGTAGCAAATTACAGACGAACAAGACACCCAATAAAGCAGACCGTAACATGTAACATGTTCGTGAATTTATTTGTTGTCCTCTTAAGAAACAACCAAGAACAAACTAGGTCTCAAAGAAAAAAAAGAAGAAAACAAAACAGCCTCAAGCATAGTGCCTAAAAAACTACAGAACATGCAACACATCAAACACAAAATTTTGAGCTGTCTTATCAATATGATTCTCCCTTGTTTAGGAATCGATGTAATTTATTCAACACTTAATTTTACATTGTAACTCATTGAGTCTTGCAGTCTGTATTGAATCGCATGAAAAACAAAATAATCTGCAGTCATCAATTGTTTATATTTATCACATCAGTTTGAAAATGGTTTGAAATCAAACTTGTTGTGATGTGACGTGTGGCACCACGTACTTAATTTCAGATTTTCGAAGATGTTCCTAAATTCAAAATTTTACCATTTCATGTTGAATGTTAAATACTATTTTAGTTGGTGCTAGGGAGCGTAGACGGAAGATTTGACTTCAAGAACCACCCATGAACAGAGTCAATCGAATCGAATCTGTAAATTTTAGTTTTGCCGTTTTGGACGTTCTTTTGTGGTTCCTTTTTTTCTGTATACTATTTTCCCCTTTTCTTTGCTCATGATGTGTGTCCCATTTTCAAGATGTTCATGAAAATTGACTTAAAAATTGTACAAAAAATGAAGGTCCATCTGATTTCCAGAAAGACACCATCACGTGCTGAAAATAGTTAATGTCAAGATCTAACAAGATCAAATGTGTTCAGTGAAAATTGAATAAGTGCTACAAATAATTAATAATAAAGAACATAATTGTTCAAAACCTAGTTCAAAATATTATTTCTAAATTCTAGGGTAAAAGTGCATTGACTCCTACCATAAGGATTTCACAAAAGTACAATTGTTTGCAAATAAACAAAACATTTCGAATTATGAAATAATTGGACAATTTACTTGTTTTTTAACAATCAAGGTTCGTACGGTATCTAAATGTCGACCGGTTCAAATGTCTAAGGTTCTTTCAACTGTCCAATCCTTTTTTTACAACCAATGAGTTTCTGTTTACTCACAAAACCTTTTTCCCCGATGTTTTTTTTTTGATGTTGATTTAAGACAATTATATCTTAACCATGTTGTACCATAGAATCCCAGCATCCTAGCTTGTTTTCACCAGATAAACGTGCCGACTGCTGTTTTATCAAGGCATGTTGGTAGAAAAGGACTTATGTTTGTAAGTGCAATTTTCTTTCCTCACACAATCACTTAACATTCAAATGTATATCGTTCAATTATTTAATAATGCTTATAACGTCACTACTGCATTTTTTTCTTTAAATGTACTTTGGAAAAAGAAAATGATATGGCTTCCTTTCAGCAAGGGGTGCAAACTCCTGAACCGTCGTTATTGTTGGTAAAGGAAATGGCAATGTGTGGACTTTTTATCTTGATAGCCACTTTAGATACAAAAAAAAATAAAGAAAAAAAAATGAAAACACACAAATATGTTTTATTCTAACATTTGGAATATTAATGAAAGAAACATTAAGACCAAATTATATTTGAAAAGCAAGACGCAAACTCACTCAAATTGAAATATATAACGTCATATGAAATGGGTTGACAAGTGCGATTTTAATTGCGAATAATAACAGGCTGGTAGAAATATGTTGAATTAATAAATAAATCCCTACCTGTGCACAAAGTCACAAACACGCAGCCATTCCTTTTCACTCAGAACTACTTAGGATACATTTAAAAAGCTCTTGAGACAAACGCATTAACAAAATATCAAACATTATCCAAATCAGAAAATAATAGCTATATATAGTGTGATATAAATTGAATAAATCTTATCAAGTCTTCTTAAATATACATACAAAATAAGATGGACTAGGTTTGGAAGAGTGTTGAATCACTGCGTTAGATAATGGGAAATCTTAAAATGCTTTTATATCCTTTTATTCAAATGAAAGCCAACTAAGTATAAGACGAACTTTTGCTATGATCCAGGCAAGCTAGGTCTTCACGGTTTATAATATTTGCACTTTGTTATCTCCGACGAATATTACATTGTTCCATTCGAATGTAATGCATAATTCGAAAATGCGAGTATTCATTCACACTAGCATGGGTATAGAAAGTCCTTTCCTTCAATATTTTATATAAGCTAGACATGCACTTGTTTACAAAATTTATATCCAGGACAAGTTTAAGCTACTGAAAAAGTAGTAATTGTGTAATCCTAGAAAAATAACGAGGCGCTGTTTGTTGATGTTTTTTTCTCTCAAATTTTTCATGAAAGTTTAATTGATAAATTACTCATAGCGGACGAATTCAACTATTTTATCTATAATTCGGTTGACAAATTGAAAAAAAAGCCGTGTGATCTCAGTATCAAGTTCCAAGGTTGTGATGTCTTGGAATCAAGGCATATAAAATGTTCTAATAAAAATCTTTCTTTGCGCAATGTTTGCTCCTTTAAAGCATGATATCTAAAAAAATAACTTTGACCTAGATTTTTTGGTTCAACAAGGTTTGCCACCTTCTATGTGGGAAGGAACTTATAAACACAATTTTTCTGCATGAAGCAATTTGATTTTCTCGTATCTATTTGATATTTTAATATAACCTTGACTGATATATTCTGATTATGGCACGATATTTTAAAATGAGACATGATATATCGAAATTATTGATGAATACGAAAGGCAAAACAATGGATGACTCTGCATTTTGATACCACACGTTTAAGCAGTGAAAAAAATTGTTCACAGACACAAAATTAATCAGATATGTTCACGTAAAGATCATGAAGCTTAAATTGGGACACTTTTGTGCCATCATTATGAAGTTTCTGATGGTTTCTTTACATAATTCAACGCTAATCTATGAAATAACGACATAAAAACCTTCAACTCTGTATGGCAAGCAATCTGAGATCACGAGACACAGCCTTTTACAAATCAATATGTCAAGGACAAATTATAAAAAAGTTGGCTGATGTTGTTACCATTTCCATTTTATCCTATAATTATTACTTTTATTCTTTTACTTTTTTTGCTGTTTTTATTATTATCTTATTGTTGTTGTTTTTTTGCCAGTATAAAATTTAGTCTACTTTTGTTTAAACTATTTAAATATTGTTATAAAGTTGTCCATATTATCTCACATAATTATTACATTTCAAGCCGCTATTCAAAATATCCACATTCGAACTAGTTTGCCTTTACTTTCTGTCATTTAGTTTTATAAAGCTCCAGGTATGAATTAAGAACATCAATTTCATGTCATCATTTGAAATCGTATAACTGTTTAAGCTAAATACTCTGCTTCGTGAGGATATAATTTGCTTCAACATAGACAAAACAAACACATTGAATTTTTTGCGAATCAATACCTTTTTTCATGGTTTCCAGTGCACGACCGAACTCTTATTTTTCAGTAAACAATAACTCATCGTTTTGCTTATTAATAATTATAGCTTCTACGTTTCGCGTATAAAATTGTACCTATTTACCTCACGCGTAGTAATATTCCGATATCCAGAAAATGTTTCCCAGAAGCGAGTTATTAATTTGCGCGGGAATTTCTGACCCCCGCAGACGACATTTGAACTCGGTCAGACAGGAGCGGTATGACGGAATAAGCGAAGAGACTGTGGAGAGTAGATAAATGTTAACATCAAGCTTCCTTCTCGTCAAAACAACATTCAACGGTGAAAGAGAAACATCGGACATTTACTGACTATTAGCGACTCCAGGTAGAAACTCACTACAAGTAGGTCTTCATTAATATTATTTAGTTTTTATTCCGATAAAAATGTCTGAACGTTATTTATTATTTCATTTTTATCAAGAAATGAAATTTCTCAATGAATGAAAATGATAAGACTATTGAATTAATATTAGTACTAACAAATTAACAATATATATAATTAGGTTTTGATATATTGTCTTGTAAAATTGTATAACATTATAAATTGGTAGTTAATATTTTCTAAAAAGACAAGAAAACAGAATTATTTTAATAATATGAATTATAGTTTATTTTTACAGTTTTTATCATTTATCTTGACAATCAATGAAAATATGACGCTACTTTCTAATATGTTAGGCGTTATCAACGATACGAAATACATATAATATATGGTCAATATATTTCAAACAATCAGGCCTTTGCTATTGTCTGAAATTGGTAAATTGTATTATGTCGTACCTTAAAAATATTGTTTATTTACAAATGAATTGGATTGTATATGCATAAAAATGTGTATTTATATGAATAATATTAATTCAAGCAGTATAATTATGTAATTGAATGATATTATGTGAGAGATAAATTACAATATAACTGTTCAACAGTGAACCATATATTATAAACTTTAATCACATTTAATCGATTCTCATTTTACTTTTGCCACATAAATTTTTAATGTTATCTCAAAATTCGTCATTTTAAAGCAACTGCAATTAATACTAGTAGTAAACCATTCTATGAAATTGCTTTAGTTTATTTAATTGCATTTTTTTTACTTATTATGAAAATCTAATACTTGTTTTTTATCCTTTCTAAATTTATAGTGTTTTAGATTGATATTGAAATTCAAATAGATATTGCAATGAAAAATATAAATACACTGTCGTAGTGATTGAATTGGTATTTTTATTCTTAACTTACTTATCAAATGCACATAATTTACAATAGATATAATTGTACAGTCAGACCATCATATTTCTACTAGTTATGGACATATGCATATTTCTAGGTTTATTTTACCTTAATGAATAAGATATTGAATTTTGAAATAAATTTCGGCAATGTTGTCATTTTAACTTATTGGTAACTTAGACACAATTAAACAATTTATTAATTAATTCCATGTAAATGTCTAAATGAATAAAACAAAATTGTAATGATATACGAAACTTGGTTGTAGATGAATATGTTTTATCATAACTTTATGATTGTTCACCAAATACGTTGTTTTAGCATTGCATCACAAGGTACTCTTTGCTAAATTATATAATAAACCGATAAGTGTGATAAGGAAATAGTCAGGAATTTTAAATCCTTGCATGAATTGTAAATGGTATAAATACCATATTGAGTGAGTAACGAATGACACGATAATCTCTGTTTACCAACATTTTACACGATTTGTCTTCAGATAGGGAATTAATTTATTCATAAAGTAACGAACAGCTTTTATATATCTTTATTTAGCTTTACCAAACCGAAAAAAGAAAATTTGCATGCCGCTTTGATAAAATTTTGAATAGTAAATGATATTATTCTACTTATAGAAAACCATCAGATATTTCCTAATATATTGGTCCATAAATTTATCCAAGAAATGGTTTATTCTAACCACGTTACAAACACACTGAATAATATCGTAGATGATCATTCACTTAAAATAATAACTGAAAAAATTTAATTGGAAAAAATTCAGACAACATGAAAACTCTCTTGCTTAACGTCGAGACAACTTACCAATATATTAACTTCACAATGCATCGCACAGAAATTCTCTGTGAAAATTCTATAGCATGAATAAAAAGGAAAATACGATTGAAATGTGTAAAATATAATAAGAACATTGCTTATAAGAAAAATAAAACAGTTTAGTTAATCGGTCACAGTCACGGTATACAACAGTGATTTTACGCAGAATATTTCAAGGTCGTGATGTTTATTGCGTTTCTTTGCCTATCCTTAAACGTCACTGTAAGAGTACGTAAAATAATCAAGAGTACATAAAAATGCTTAATATCATTTCATGGATGCGTTGGCTGTGCAAAACGATTTCTTTTTCCCCATTTCATTTATATTTCTAAATTTAACAATTATTGTGAGACAATAATTATTTAATAAAAAGCATCTTTTAAGTTAATATACGTTTCGGAAAACAAAACTTTTAATGTTAGCATAATCAATTTATAATGATAAACAATTTTTTGAACAAATTCATTTCATAACTGCAATTGTAACTTGCAATTTGTTTTTAAGAAATGATATATGCATATCCCATGTCAAAGGGTGATGATTATGTTAATGGTTCCCGCCCTTGAACGAAACTTCACATATTTTTTTATTATATCTATTTTCTCTTACAACATGGAGATACCAGTTTGACAGAAATTTTCTAAAATGATTGTTGTAATGCCGTTTTGTATCAATCTTCAAATCACCAGACATTACTTTATGTTTTACTTCGGCAAGTTAACATTCTATTGCTTTCAAAATCATTATTTTAAATTACACTGTTATTACTATTATATTACATTACACTGATCAAGGTTTCAAATATTGTATAGGACGATAATATTCAATAAGTTTATCTTGGCCTTTCTAGAATATTTCAATTAAAAAGTATGCTTTCGAATGATACTTGTACTTTGAAAGATTATATTGAATAAAATCTAAAGACGCTAAATGTTCAATAAGTGTATCTTGGCCCAATATAATATTCCAGTTAAAATATTACTTGAAATCATACTAGTTACACGATGTACATGTTCTGGTAAAATTAACTGATTAACTGTAAAATACATTTGTACATGATCATGCAAGTTTTTTGTTTTTTCCAACATTGAATTATTTTCCTCTGAAACTGTAACTATAGTATTGCACATATTATTTTATTCCTTTGAAAGCAAGGCGAACCATGGTTTTGAAAAAGAAAAGTTTTAAAGTGAAATGATCCATGGTGGAAAGTCTGTAATACCATATATGAGCCGCGCCATGACAAAACCAACGTAATGGGTTTGCGACCAAGATGGATCCAGACCAGCCTGAGCATCCGCGCAGTCTGATCAGGATCCATGCTGTTGGTTATTAGTTTCTCTACTTGTAATATGGTTTGTAAGCGAACAGCATGGATCCTGGTCAGACTGCGCGGATGCGCAGGCTGGTCTGGATCCATGCTGGTCGCAAACCCATTACGTTGGTTTTATCATGGCGCGGCTCATATAATTATATCTTGTATTATATATGGCAACAAACCACGCGATAATTATATTTATTATGTACTTATAAATGACATATTGAGAAATATTGATGAAATAAAATGCGTATTTTTATTTTCCGTATTTTCACTGGAAAAATATTTTTCACGGCAGTGAAACATATTTTCCGTATTTTCACTGGTGTCTTGTCGGACTACTTTCTTGTTTAATCTGCCAATACACAATATTTAAAGGGTATTCTTCCTGTTCTATACGTTAAAAAGAGAAAAGTTATATAATAAACAGAAAATTCAAGTTTTCTCTATTGATACAGGATTTATTTGCATCGAGTGGCATGAAAATAAATATTGAAAGAGTGGCCACTCGTGAAATATTTATTTTCATACCATTCGATGAAAATAAATCCTGTATTAATAGAAGAAACTTGAATATCCTCTATATAGTGAGACGTATTACTGATTTAACATATCTGTATATCGTAGACGATAAATTGTTTCAGAACAAAATATAATTTTTTATCTTTCAATTGTCCATACTTCATCACTTAGAATGCTATCAATATTTCTTTTTTAAGAAAAAAATATAAGTATATCCAAGTACATTTCTTTTTTTTTATCAATATCTAAAATACTTCCCCATTGTAGATCCTTTCACTTAAAAACATTTTAATATTTTTTTATGAGGTACTCATGTTGATTCACCGAAATATTGCTGAGATTTTTTTGTAATTCTTGATTTCTTCGTGGTAAAAAATCGGATTTATCGTGTTTGAAAGATCTCGATATTTGAAATGAACTAATATTAAAAAAAAATGTATTTACAAAAAAGCTTCATTTTCTATACACGGTGCATAATAACTGAGAAATCGTGACCTTCTAACGTGAAAATGCAATTAGACTTTACCACATGTTTTTTTATGAAATTTTAACACGCAATCCGTCAAAAATATTTCGTTTAACATCAACAAGAAATAGATAAATAAATGAAAATAAAATAAACTTATTTTTACTGTTGTTACGCAATTTCTTCTGCTCTAGGAATATGTCTGATTCAGATATGTGATTACATAACAGATGGATAGAGTCTCAAGGGCAATGCTAAATAAAAACATAGCGGATATTTACGTTTGTTTTCATATGGAAGTTCATTAACCGCGTTAGCGTTCAGTCTTGTTTGCAAACAGAAACCTATCATCGGTGTCTACCTGTATATTGAAGTCTGTAAATAGAAAAATCAATTAATACTATCTCTAACAAATCACACTTATCTATGTAGCGGCTGCATCTGTCATTGATAATTATATTTATTTGATTCTGACCGTTCAAATCTACTTTTACACCAAGGGCAAGAATGCAGGAATGTTAAAAGTATCCAATAAATATTTCAAAAGTTTATGTTTCTGATGACGTCATTGACGTAAAACATGGTTTACTTCTAAAAAAAGTGATTAGGTACTTTTATTCACGTCGACATATGAAATAAAAACAAGATTTAAGAAAGTTTTGTACTGGTTTGTAATTTCGACGTTTTATTATCAGCAAGTCAGACTAGCACCGCCACATTTCTAAAGTTTTTACCGAACTTTAAGGTTTATGTTTTTTATGTATCCACGCATACCGTTAATAATCTAGACTAAGGGCATGATACAGTTAATATCTTAGACTAAGCGCAAAATCACTAAGTTTATCTTACAAAAATGACATTGATTAGAAATATTTGGACATTTTGGTTTTAACTCATTTTTTAAAAACTTAATTACTTGGCAGAGATATATATTTTATCAAAGGAACATTCCATTCGCTGAAATACTTGTCATTCTTTGTAAATGTTTAAGATTCTCGGTGAGATAAAAAGCATCTTAAGTCTGAATGAATTAATCAAACAAAAAATATTATATATATATAGAAATGAACTTTCATTTTTCTGACATTTTTTTAATGAATCACGTATTGCTCGTGGCTTTAAACGTTAACCGTATGTGTTAAACTTCCTAATCAATTTGATATTGAGTCATTCACTGTCTTCTAGAATTAGGGCATGCAGAAATTGATCGTGCCACCGGCCTTGTAAATTTGTTTGCTGTACGTAGTAAACATAGTATTTGTCTGTATCAAGCGCGATTATGATTGGCTGGTCGCAAGGTAAGAAAAACAATCAGACTTACATTCCGAGAGTCTCGTGAGACGCGGTACACGGTAAGCACGTGTTTGCTTAATTTAGAAACGCAATTCTTTGATAAAAGCCAAAAAATTATAACGTCTTGGTAGTTTTTAAACTTGTTCGAATAAATGAGTATTTTGCGTGCATATAATTTATTACAAATGATTGATACATTAACTATATAAATACTATTCCTGGCATTTTTTTTAAATATACGAAGGCTTTTTTTAAATATAAATGTTTCAGAAGATTAAACTTTATATACAAAACATTTTAGTTGCATTATTTTAATCAAAATTTTTAAAAGAACACCATAAACCTATCACCATTTCAGCTTATGCTAACTAACGTTGTACATTGGCTCAAACAAGTACTTTCTACCTTACAATTAAAACAATAAAACCTAACAAGCGCATTTAATTCATATTAATAGCATAATAGGCAATACAGTAAATGAAAAACGGCTTATTTCATGTAATACATTGTTATTTAGCATTTCTTTGCTTCAGTATTTCCTCCATTAAAGAACAACTTCATTATGGATTAAAACTCAACTTGGCATGAAAACAATTTCTTCCCAATAAAACAGCTTCCACCGAAAAGTAGAATTTTATAATAACTGTGAATTCTACGATATACACTATGATGCATATTGCACTTGTTTTCCAGAGGTGTAAATTTAGTTTACGAATAAATAACTGAATGTTATTTTATCAGTAGCATATGCATTTTCAATGACGTCAAGGCGATGCCATTTTTCATACCCCGCATTTCTTATGAGTCAATAATCAATCAGATTCTAATCATAATTAAGAAACAGGAAAGTATGCCAGTTCGTAAACTTCACTTAGCATTAGGTGAATGAATGGGCATGAAAATAATTTACTGCGCGCCAGACGCACTATTTCTTACTGCGTAGTAGTAATAAAAAGCGGATATTGTGAAGAAAATGGCGGTATCGTTGTCAAATATCCGATCTATCATGCGATAGGAAGATTGTTTATCTCTTTTACAATTATATCGCAGCATATGAACTTTCTGAGTGGGTGGAATGTTCCTGATAAAATATTTCAGCAGAAAACTATTTCATTCATGGAAAGTCTGTAAAGTTTCAAGGTTTCAAAACAAACAAGACATACTGAGAGCACACTTGTGTTTAAAAGAACACTTTAGACGAGATTAAATTTTATGCTCCCAACAAAATGAATTAATCATAGAAAGTTCGCAAAGTGATTAATAAAAAGAATAAATCCTGTTTAACTTAAGGTATTAGGACCCTAATGGGCACTATCAGGAACTAAAGAATTGACATCATAGGTCAGATGTATACCTTAAAGTACACCTGTATGCAAAATTTAAACAAAGTTTACCGTACGGAAATCCAGTTATGGCCACTTTTCTGAACTCAAACTAGGATGTTATGAGGGCCCTTTTTTAGAAATGAGGAACCTTTAAATAATCTGCAATAACATTCTAATGAAAAATGTTTTCCCATGAATTTTTGGTAAGAAACAAATAGTACCATTCAGCTAACAATCCACATAAGCAAAATTATGGTTTCTACTTAAAATTTATGAAATCTTTATAAATATGTTACCCTACCCCACCCATTTTTACCACATGTCTGACCATTTTTCTACTTAGGGAACCTAATTAAAAAATTTATTAAAATTTACCCAAATGAGTGCCTGTTTTCATAGTTTCCCTAAATTTTTAAAAAAGTATATTGGTTGATCTTGTAAAATATGAAATACTTTTACCGTCTAGTTTTGATTATATTACACTTTGAAAATATCAGGTACCATATTTATTACTAGATTTAGCATAATTTAGCCAATAAATACCTATATAAATTAAAAATTCAAAATTAAACACTTTTTTCTTTCCATATGGGACATGAGAGATACATAAATAATGTTAAAAGAAAAAAAGAAAGAAAAAAAAAGTTGACCAGTCTGGGGATTGAACCCATGGCCCTCATTTTCAAAGTAGTTAACAGTAATTCTAGCCTATTTGAATACTCTTCAAAGCGGAGGTAATGCATTAGGGTGCTAATACCTTAATCGACAGTTTATACTTAGGTCATAAAAAGACATACTTTTTAGACGGTATTCGAAATCAATAACTATATGCATTTTTTTGTTCAGTTTGTACACAATTCACTTCATTTAAGCCCATAATTGTAACGAAACAATGCTCATTAAAGCAAGTTTTAATCTTGAAACAATATCTGAAGTTAGTGACATTTTCAATAGAGCGGAATAACACCATATATTGTATATGTCTTTTTTGATAACTGGTTGTTTGAAATCTCTGGAAGTATTACTGAGTACAAGTACAAGATTCAATCATTCAAATCAAGAAGTAAGCCTATGGGTGCCTAGTGGTGAAGGTTTCAGTCTTCATTGTTATTATTATTGATTTTATCATTCTATTTTTTTTTATATTTTCAGACATGAAGGGTTTAAAAACTGACAGCTTACAAGAAATTATTATGACAACAGTGGTCCTATCACTGGCAATACTTTTACTTAATTCAAGGTCTTCGTTGGCCGCACCAATAGAAAAACGATCGCAACACATGCCTATACATTTATTTGTAAGTATTTTAGATTAAACATTGTTTTCAAATGCATTTCCAGCTACAGTAAGATATTATTGGAGTCTTGAAGCCAATTTATGTTAAATTAAGTCCAAACAAACTTCAATGCACAATCATTTTTGGCAAAACTGTATTATCATTTTCTGGTTGTCTGAGACCATTGATTTTAAGACGTTTTGTTTTGAAGATGGAAACATGCTGAAGCATGTGCTATGGGGAGTGAGAGATGTTACATTTGTATAACTATTCACAAACATAATACATCAAACAGAGTCGGCAAGTTTTACATTTTTTCACTGCTGTTGCCATTGCTGTCGACGGACCTCTATATTTTGCTATTGATATCCACTTTAATTTTTTAAGGGGTTTCGATTTAGTAACTGATCTCACGTTAACATATTGATTGCATCTGATAAAACATCTAAAACATCTAATCACATGATTTGCCACAATAAATCATTGATGCGCAATGTTTTCATGATTGTGCTACAAGAAACATAACCCGGATTTTAGTGAAAACATTACAAATGACGAATTATTAATTGAAAATTGTTTTGGCAGATTGGCGGTCATTTGAGGGCAATCATTTGTTTAATTAAAACCATTCATACGACTGTCTTTGGGGAAATTTTTTAATCATATTGTACATTATTATTATCACCAAGTCATTTTTAAAAAATAACGCTAAGTGCTTTAATGAATTTTCTAATTAGAGAAAGTGAGTATCCATCGATCAAATCTTTTTAAGCAATTGATAAGTTTTTTGTGTGTTTATAACAAAGCCATTTATAGCTGATACAGTTTGATAAAAAAGCAATTTTAATAGAAATATACATTTGAATTGCATGTGCCTGTATTACTTTTGGTTTAGTAATGGAACTTTGGTTCTTATTTGAAATTGCAATAAGGAAGTAAATGAAGGATGACACAATATATAATGATAATACATCAATTATTATTTGTATTATTATATTTCAGTGTGATTCACCTATCACAGTTGGGGACGGTTTATTAAGAGATATGATGTTTCTTGTTGGTGACGAGGACATGGACGGTTTTCTGACTGAACATGAAATCACCTCATTTTATAGAGAAACGGTACATTACACAGACTACGTTGCTCAAACTTACGGAAGATCTTTTATTGAAATTGCTGATTTAGACCACGATGGCACACTTAATCCCGATGGTAAATGATCAATTGTATTTTTTGTTTGATTTGTATTAAAACATACAAATATTCTCAACTTACTTTGTATACCAAATGAGGATATCATTCATTATGAGATGCAATCATTTGTAAACTGATTATACTCTCAGGAAACGTCATATTTTGATTGATATGAGTGAAAATATTCAATCGAAGTTGACTTCCCACAGGTATATTAATTAATTAATATAATATAATAATGTTCATCAAACAAATTATAAATGGCACAATCAGGACAATGATTAGTTATACCTGTGTTTCTGTGTTTGGAGATCGTGACATGATTAAAAGTAAACACAATTTGTTTAGTTTAATGTTAGCACCTAATTGTTTCATGATAAATCCATTTGACATGCAAGCGGAAGAATTTAACAGAGATGGGTATTTTTTACCTTCCACCTACTCTTCCTAACTCAATAAACCTCGAGATAAATAAAGTTACATGTATAATTAATAAGTTTGAAGATAAGAAACTCAGCAGTACTGTATTTTTCTGGTCCTTCGAGATATTTTATTATAGCACGTTTTACGGTTGAATCAGATTAAACCGCTGCTAGGGTTGCCTTTTTATCTCATATTAACAGACTTAAACGAAACTAGACTGCAATTTAGGTATAATTTTGATGTTTTATTTCTTCCGAGGAATCTTCCCTTTTCCAGATTTTGTATTGTGACATATAAAAGTCAACAATTATAAATCGATGTTTTGTTTTATGATATGCTACATCTTTTCCAAATTGATATATCTATATTATATGACTTTTTTGCCATTTTCAGAGTTGCTTTGTATGTTGTCGGCAATGAGCGCCTCCAGCTGGACACGGCGGTGAAATTTTTCCTGCCACGCTAAATTTTATTCTTTCAAAGAACATCTTTGCGCCTGTAGCGGCGGACTCCACAAACTTTGCCAATCACTGAGCATAATTAAGTTATCACTCTTTTCATGGACAATTCATTTTTGTCTGTTTTAGTTGCATTCATTATAGGAGGAAGACAAAGTGAAAGGCAAACAGAAAAAGTAGAGGGTATTAGAGCTTTTCTGACAATATAAATTAACGGTGTAAAGAAAAATACTCGTATAAAGCAGTTAAATATAGTATAAATTATTGTTATGTTTAATGTACTTTTGATTTATAGCTTAATAATTATTTTGGACATATCTATTTATCATCTAGGCTATGCATACTGGAAAGCTTTGAGAACGTTTATTAACTTTATATAAACAATAGAGCAACACTCATGAACTTAAAAGTTCATTTGTTAATGTCTGGTCTTGATCGTATAGATTTCACTGGAAAACTGTTTATTTGCATTTAAAAGGTAAAATGGGACGTTTCTTTTTTTGTTGAAAAAAGGCATGAGCAATATGAGTTTATATTTAACTGATTAAGGTTCATTCAATAATAATTTCTTACATTTGGAAACAACAGAAATTTAATATAAAATGCGGAATCTGATGTTGTAATATGAAATACTATGATAATTATACAAATGTTTTCATGGTTCGCTATTTTTGGAATGGTATCTTTTTCAAAGCTTTTCAATCTGTAGGATACTGACATATTTTTTATCTGTAAAGTAAAGAGTTTTCTACTTTTTTCAATTCTTTCGTACTTATTGAATCAGCTTAACTTAAGATATTAATATTGACGTGTACATATCAGAAACATTCATCGCTCCATTAAGGGTGGTTAAATTGACGTCAAAGGTTTTTTTACCATTCTTTTCATTTATCATTTGCATATATCGATGATGACTGGAGACATTGTCTTAAAATGCTCCTTTTTAAATGTTACATAATCTTGATTTATTATTTAACTTTCTGAATACGGGATAACCCTATAACTGATGTTTGACGAAAATTCTAAACATGGAATTCGATTATTTATTTGCACATTTGTTTCAATATAAACTGACGTAATTATCGTATTATACAATTTACATTCCATCATATTTTGTATGTTAAATGATTGTTGCATGTACAATTCATGTAAATTTGTGATGTATAATCAAAATAATGTACTACTAAAGAAATAAATATTTGTAATGTTTCATTATTTCGGAAATAATTTGGAATGATGGCATAGAAATCAAACAACTATTAATAGTTGTTGTTAACGAAAATGTATGTACGCAATATATTTCTATTTATGCATTTATGATCAATTGATTATGTATAGTAAGCTATAAAATCATTACTCTGACATTTAAATTTCATTCAAATTTTGAAATAATAATGATAATCATAGTGCTATAACAGTATGGTTCATTTTCTTGAAACATTTGCTCGAAGCACACAAGACCAGTCTGTAAGCTATTTTTATTTTTTTTTTCACTTTTTCACTTTAATTAATTTTTCTTTCTATATTTAATTTGAATTAATCATATCGGCTTATTCACTACCGAAACACCTTTTCTACTGTTTTTTACCCTCATATCTAATAAACGCCTTCTTTACTAGTAAAATATCACAGCCAGAAAAAAGAATGACCTCTTGCTGTTGGTGCTAGAGTCAATGTTATTTGCATGATTGACCATTCAAATCCACGTTCTATACATCTAAAAGGAGTTAGATATTCTGTTGATATACCATATTAAATTGTATATATAATTAATGTAAATAATTATGAAAGCATGACAATTTTTCAATAGAAAATAATTGATACATAATTGAAGCTGAGTTATATAATACAAGATCTGATTAATGACACACTGTCTAATGACAGTAAGAATAATTATAACCTATGAGATTTGATCATTTTGTGCAACGTAAACATTATAAAGAACAATGTGTTTGTTCAGCCTGTGATGTTTTTAAAGACGTTTTAAACAAACTGTTTTGTTTCATGAATTGTATCTTATTTCTGAGATTTTTCTTGTAAAAATTTTCATTCGCACTGATTTAAATATGTTCTTTTATATTCGTTAATATGTTTCTTGTATGTTTTGACATATAAAGTTAGGCGAACAATTCACTTTACAAACATTGTCCTTTTTCCAAAATTCTTAAATACCCTTTTCTTAAATTTACACTTATACATTTTGGCATTGTCAATCAAAATTCCGATTTGTTATTGTTATAGTGTTATCAAGTTATAAATGTACTAAATTGAAAAGATATTCAAAAAAGAAGAGTTTAACATTTAATTTAAATAATTTGTTATATAAAAACATGTTTGAAGATATTTATACATCATCCTTATGTTCATATTTACATAACATTTGTCTTCTCTTTACAGGTTACATAAGAAAATATTATATCCCCTATTTTTCAATGATAATGGGTATCTTGTTAAACTATTCATTTATTTTCTATTGAATCCACGGTTTGAAGATTAATTACCATTTATTGTTTCTCGTTTTATCATATTTGTTATGATATCCTGATCTTTACTTTGAATAGAATTTAAATTATTCCGAATCAATGAAAACGAAAATTTACGAGCAAATAAATTGTGAAAACACAAGTGTCTTTATAGTACATTTACATTACTACATTAATTTTAATTACATTAACTGAATTGACGAAATTATATTTAGAGTGACAAACACGGATTATCACGATGTCCTAGAGGTACACCTTGTACCGTATTGGAGTAATTGCTTTGCTTTGAAATAAAGAAATATACATACTCGAGTCAATATAATAGTAAAGTAAAGCAGACAAAGAATACATTTATGCTGGCTTGAAATGAGGAGCATAACAAGGAAATGTTGGCAGGTTATTACTTGCTTAATTCTGGCAATCAATTTATTGTCGGTGTTTTCTGCTTTGACAGTGTAAAAAGATGCTCTGTTGTTCATCTAAGTGTTATATTTTTCTTATTGATTTCAAACTTTTAAGTGTCGATTAAGCCGGTGTTGGGTAACGCGAGTGACGTCGCATTTCATATTTGTTCTTTCATGAATGGACTTAATTAAAGCAGTATACGATTTTCCTAAATTCGTATTCTGGTTAATTGCCCTCGAGGGCTTCCCCGTTCTCTATTTTTCATCTCTTGTCATGTTTATAAATGCGAAATTAAAGTCTTGGAATTGTGGAAATAAACATTTCATTGTTTGATACCGAAATGGATATTGAAATTGATAGAGAAAGTAAAAAAAATATTGTAATGCATTACAAACCTTTTCAAAAATGCATAAAAAATGGAAGTTGAATATAAACAAGTTTGTGGCAGGAGTGTTTACACCAGACAAGCTTGAACTTTCAAGACACTGGGTGAAGTAACTTTTCAAACACATTTAACATACTTATATATTATATCTTATCATTGCAAACTAAGTAACCTTAGTGTACTGAAAGGAATTCTTCTTGTCTTAGTCATAGTGTAATATAACAGTAGGATCTCATATATCTTAATGAAACAAGACAAGTAGCTATGAGTTAATGATTTAAAAGGATGAAACATAATTTTGATAATCCAGTCATACACGATAAAATACAAACATGCCTGAAATACCTAAAATCACGTTATTAGTGAGGTATGTTTCAAACGCAAATAGGTAATATCTCTAATTTGATACCATGCAAAAAGAGCATATTTTTCTTCTTTAATTTTCATTTCTATAAATGAAATGCAAAATAGCGATGTATAAGACGAGTATTTAAGGTCTCTGTCCAGAAACATTATATTCTAATACAAAAATAGTGTATTTAGTCATCCTTATTCGTTAAATAAAAAGGTTGACCAATTTAGCCCTTTCGCTGCCAGAGGGTTATTGTTTTATTGTTCACCTATTTGCCAGAGGATTTTCTAAGAAATTACTATATTATTATTTAATATAATTATTTTTATTTGTTATTCGTATTATAATAATTATATATGTTTCCAAATCTGTTAGTATAATAATAATAATTGTCGATGGTATACTTTTCTTTATATTTATTATTATTTTTATGATTATTATTAATAATTTATTATTATTACTATTATTATTATAGAAACGGGTAAAGCCGTCCATATGGCAAATACGCCGAAAATATCATGGACGGCTTAAGCCGTCCCTATGGCAGTGAAAGGGACAAACTGCCATCGTAACGAGAAATAGCATCGCATTGGTTATGTTTAACTTTTTTGTTTAACTCCATGTTTTGCAGCAGATTGTCTCTCTTAAAATATGAAAAAAAAACAGGAAGAAGAAGAAAAGTTTATTTCCAACTTGTACAAATCATGTACTTCGTTGTGTCAAAGAATAATATAAAAAAATTAAAGTTTAATAAATCATAACATTCATAATAGAGAAAATCTTTTTTTAATTTGCGTTACACTGTAAAGTCGCAAATTTGGTCTAAGCTATTTAGTACGTGGTATTTTCCTATAGTCCATTCAGATGTTGTCAGTTGTTTTTAGTCCATGGCCTATCATAGGTATTAGTTGAATACTTGCATGAAACGTTAGGGACAATAAATCGAAGAGATCGTTGAAATATTAAACAAACAAGATATTATATTGTTAATTTATAGTAAACAAGACGGAAGAAAATCGTTTTTTAAAATTTTCAAAATAGCATTGATCATCCTCATTTATTGCTAAAAGCTGAAGGAAAAATGCCACATCAGTAAAAGTAATCTTTATTTAGAAAATGTACTCCTGAGTATTGGTAAATATAACGATTATTTTCTAAATTGAGCCGATATAACGTAACACCGTTAAATGATTCTATGGTATCTTAAAGATTTATTACTATCAAGATAAACCACAACGAGTTTTTACAAACAAATGAATGCTTAATCATTTTTAAAAAAAAAAGACATATGTGTCGAATTAATAAACCATATAAAGGAAATGAAAATATTAAAAACCACTGGACTGTTTTTCAATCGTGTTGTTACTTTCACGAAATCATATCAAAGGGTCATTTTTGTAATCTCTGACGTGTATACGAGTATTGATAAAAATTATCAATTTTCATATCCAAACCTACAATTGTTTCAATAATTCCAAAATCCAATCTATTCTTGTTTGCTGCAATATTTAGGATTTAATATTTGCTCTGTCTGTTAATTTAGCATAATGTATAATCTTTTAAATGATTAAGTTTAACACTAATCAATAAGCATGCATTGTCAAATCAAGATGGGAGATAAGTTAAAATATCCGTAAGAACTATCTTAAATCTACAGGAGCTGCAATCCATTTATTAAGTTACCATTTCGTTAATTGCACAAACTGCAGAAAATATTTTATATCATATTATTTGACCAACTTTCATAGATATATTTTAGAAAACCTTGAATGTTTAGTCGGAACAGACATAGAATATATGTACCTGAATGCCTTGATATGTTCATAATATAAATTTACACTAAGTGAACTAAGAAATCATACAAAAATTCTGAATCACTTTAAAGCAGTGTGTTAACAGCAGTATTCTCATCAATCTTGTCAAAACAAGATATGATGCTGTGAATTTATGATGTAAGAGAGGAATTTTTGAAATGCTGCAAACTAAAAAAAAACATAATATAAAACCGATAGAATGTTTAAGCGAAATGACATCGTAATTGGCTAAAATAAGGAGCGATATATTACACCAAATGCAATATATTGATTACTTAAGGCAGCATGAAATGCAATGTCAGTTGTTGTAACCTTTTCAAGCTGTATTGCTTTAGATAAATCTGCCGTACATTTTTCAAAAAGTTAAACAATAAAATATTGGCATATACAGTAATAGAATATAAAACGAAATTACCCAAGAACGCCCAAAACGACAAAATTGAAAACGTTGCAGACTCGGTTTGATTGAACCTGTTCATGTATGGTACTGGGAAGTGCAAGCTGCCGTTCACATTCCCTAGCATACAGTAGTAGAAGTAACACTAGTGCAATAATTACTTTGAACGGGATAAAACATTTAACAGACGTCTGCTTTACCACGTGAGTCTTTTGATATTTATCTGTATATGCACTCATCTCTTGAATAGAAAAAAGTTTTTACACTTTAAAAAACTTTTGTTTGTGGTTCTCCTGGGCTCCTTGTCGATGGTTTTTGTTTACTGCATGTGAGGATTGCGTTCATTGTAAGACGCCATTCCTTCTTGATCTTGTTTAATATATTTGATAAAACAAAATAAAATAGAACGTGTTTTGTCTTACCAGCTGATGGTAATTTCGTTATATTTTACAATCATTTACTACCCTATTTATGTTTGGTGTGACTCTGTCTTGTACCCTTTCCTGTTTTTGTTTGGGCTCCGCCTGGGCTGCTTGCCACTGGTTCTTTTTGCTGGGTCGAACAGAGGATGCGTTCATTGAACACCGCCTTTCCTTGTTGATCTTGTCTATCATGTTTTAGAAATGCAGCAATCTTGTTGATCTTTAGAAGAAAGTGTAGATGCATGATATAGATAGACTCGTATAAACATAAGATGATTCAAATTAAATGTGTCTAAATTGGCACCAAATTTACCACATTCAATGTAACTGTCAATGGTTTTTCTGCCGGCAACATAAACGTGCAAAATACATTCAGCTTGTTTGTTTCAAAATATTGTAAAGGAATATTCTTCTTGTCATACAGTTTAACACGTGTCTAAAATATGTAGTAGTTATTTAAGCTCAGGTGATTTTTACCCTATACCACACGTCATTCATGGAAATATATGAATCAACAACATAAAACAATAAATCAAAGATGACTTGTGTCAATTATAGATAATCAAACACTGTTGAGATAATGAAGAATCAACTGTGCAAGTGGTGTGTAATGCCAGAGACATGATGCAGAAAGAATGAACTTTCGATGGATCACTTTTTCCGGACATTTATGGGTTGCTGCGTATAAATCAATAACCATATTTATGAATATGACCAGTTTATTTTCAATAAAATGTTATTTTTTATTTGTGTCGATATTTAACACGTACAAGGATTCTATCTTATTCCACCATAGATGTATAAAATAGAGATACAAAAAATCTCTCAAGCATGTTGCAGGCACGGTTTGAATTGAGCCTGTTCATGGACGGCATTGGAAAGTGAAAGTACCATCCACACCCCAAGCTTAAGCAAAAATTCAAAATTTAAACTTGATGGTAATGGTAAAATTA